CCGGGGGTCACCCGCAACCAATGTACATGCCCCTGACCGGAATCGAACCTGGGACCTTTCAGTCTGCAGACCTACGCTCTATCCATTGAGCCAAACCGGTTTTGGCTATATTGGTCCTTTTGAATGTCCTAATTTCCCAAAGAAACTTTCATAAGCTTTTGCTCCCAGGCCTTATGTGGTCTATTTTATGAGTCTTTGTAATCTTTGCCCCAGTCTTCTGCATTTGTTGGTTTTCAGTTTGTTTGGCTTACAGTGTTTTGACAAGCAATGCCCACCACCTTATTTTTATTTTATTTTTTAATTAGATGCAAAAGAGATGAGTATATTAAGTCCTTCAAAATAGAACAGATTTGCACAATTTTTTGCAAATATGATTTGTTCTGCCACCCCTCGAATCTCTGGGTATTAGGTTCTTATGCTGGGAACTGGTTTTTCACTTCAGAACTGCTACTAGACCAGGGAGGGGCTAGGGCAAGAGCTAGTAAAATTGCCACAAAGCTTTCAATCTGCCTTTCTTGATTCATTGTTCATTTGTTTTGTTTTTTATAAATCTTTCACTATTTTCCAGAGTTGTTCCAAAGTTGTTTTTTAGTGCTTGTTTTCAATGTTTCTAAGGGAGGATAATTTGGAGTTCTATATCCCACCACTCTGTTGATGTAACTGCTTTTTTTTTTTTTTTTTTAAGAATTCTATTAATGATTTAATAGGAATAACAAAAATTTTCTTGTTAAAATTGCCCACTCGAAATTTACTTATTTAAAATAGTTTCTATGCATTTCTGTTTTATATTTGAGTTTTTGTTATCTAAAAAATAATTTGGAAATACTACATAGAAAGTTAAATAAGACCATTAAATCATTTCAGTGTAGATAAATTAACAATAATACAGAAAATGAAAAATTATTAAATACATAGATTTTCTGTATTTACTTGAGTGCTGGTTCTTAGATCTAATGAGTGGTCCTGGATTTTAGCATAGAGAAACTGTTGTTTAACTGATTCCTGAAATGAATCAGTGTGGCTACTGTCTTCATGATGCTAAGTCTAATGCTTTGCCTTGGCGATGTGTCAACATATGAATATACTTAATTCATAGATTTTTAGAAAATCATTACTTAAAACGGGGCTGTAAACGTAACAAACTTTTCAGTAGGAATACCAGTTCATTTAAAAGACATGCAAGGTCTTACAGGTCTTTATACTAACATTTATACCATCTTTTCCTATCACAATTGAAATGTGGTTACCCATAGCTTTATTTTCAGTGTGAACCAGATATTTCCCCCCCTCTTTCTATTAAATATTCATCCCATATACTTGGTGACATTTCTCTTACAATTTAGAAATAAACCCTTTTATTATGTAATATTCATCAGAGTTCATAACTAGTGTGATGTGATACCTAAAATTTGATGTCTTTTAGATGTAGAAAGACACGATTGAGTTCATGTGCTCATTCACAGCAATATACTGGTTCTTTTTAACCTAACCTGACCTAACTTAAAATCTCTGGTTCTCTTTTCATAAAGCAGATATTTGTGCATTAAAAGCACCATAAAATCCTTATAAACTTTCATTTAGTGTGATCTCAACAGTACACAGATAGATGCTATCTATATATGCCCTTCACTAAACATGACTTTAGTAAGTGCTAAAACTGAGAAAGAAATTAGATTTTCATGTTTTGAAATATGTCACCATTATATGTATTTTTGGCTTTATAAGTTAGATACAGATATATTAGAAATTACTAGTGAAAAAACTATGCTCTCTGTGTCCTTATATGAAACAAGCATTCTAATTGTGAATATTATGAACTCATTTTACAAACTTACCATTAACAAGAAATAAATGTGCTATATAAATTTCAAACTGTAATGCTCCCAAGTAATTAATGAACTGTCTCTATAAATATATAATGTTGAACAATGTTATATTACTTATGTAGTAACACTATGTTACATATTGTATATGATTTATACATTTAGAAAAATTTACTGTTAATAAATCCAGATTATTTTATTGATTAGTTTATTTAAATATTGAAATACCATTAAAATCACAATTGTACTTTAAAATTTTACTTTATTGTTAAATTTATTTTTAAGTGAAAGGAAGCCTGTTATCTTAACATTTAACTATTTGTGTTCTTTGATCATTTAATAGTAAAGGTATTTGTGTAATATTACTTTAATAATGTATTTGTGTGTGTGTGTGTGTGTGTGTGTGTGTGAGAGAGAGACAGAGAGAGAGAGAGAGAGAGAAAGAGAATGTTCTAAAAACAACCTACCCATCCTTATAAACAGTACTGCTGCTACCTATAACTTAGTTCTAGAATCAAGAACAACTAAAAACATTATATTAAACTCTCTTGCACCCTCTGTTGTTATTTTTAGGGAACACTACACATACCTTCCTATGATTATTAACATTAGACTTATTAAAATCCCTGACAAAATTAATACTTAGTTTATTATATTTACCTCAAAATTAGGTTGATAGTAAAGTAATATTTGTTTTCAATTTTTGTTTGTTATTTCTTGTGTTATAGATATGTTTTTATTGTAAAGCAGGTTAAACATGAAAGATGCGCCTTTCTGTGTGTCTGATTTTTCCTACTAAACCCTCCAAATGTTTCAAACAAATGAAAGTCTCTATAGGATATAGCACACTCTATATACAATTTTCCAGAATTACAAATTCTGTCTGTGTTTTTGTAAACCTTTCAGTTGTCAGACAATATCCTTCCAAAATAAGAGTCTGGAATTGTCCATACTAAAATTAAGAATTTATAACTGTCAGGAACAGATGTTTTCATAAACATTTGCTATAATTAATTTCAACTAGAGGATTGAAGGAACAAAGCAGTTTTTCCCGCTTCAAAACTTGATTGCCTTTTTCTCGTATAGCAAACTCTGAAATCTTTTCTCAAATATTGTTTAGAGAAACAATTGTACTCCTTATTTAGTATGTTTTTGAGAAAGAAAAACTGCCTTTTCCTTTTATTACCATGCTTTGAAATTACATATAATATGGTATATTAATTTCAAAACATATAAAATAGAGAACCCTTTTGTAATGTATTATGACAAAACCTAGGTGTGTGTTTTTTAAAAACCTGTAAGTCTTAACTATTTGAAGGATTTTATATTTGATCTGTAAATATCAGCAAAAGGCAAGACTTTACATATTTAAGTAATCATTATCTTTAATTTTAAAGAGAAAGAAGGCTCATATATTTCAATATATGATGTACTTATTCGATGCTGATTATAGAGTGTTTCATAGGAAATGTCTGCAAGCTGTTAAATAACATGTGTTATAGGAAATTTTCATTTAGCAAGACAGAGACTAATTTTCCTTAACATTTTTTATTTATTGTAAAACTATTGATTTTTTAAAGGAAATGAAGTGAGTCAATTTACAGTACCCATATTTTCAAAGATTTAACAAAGTATACCCAGCTAGAATGATCTTAACTGTTTTTTGATTTATTTCCTTTTTAAATAATAATCAAAATTTTTGAGCCCCATGATTCATTTTAGGAGTTTTGTTTAATCAATGAAATCTGAAAGTACATTTTAATAAAAATAGAGTTAAAAGAAGAGTAAGTGGGCTCTGTCCAGTTCTCATTTTCCTAAAGCTTGGGTGCAGCTGAAAAGATTGTGAAGAGAACCAGCATTCTTGACTAACCTGTCAACTATAAAATGTGCAAATAAAAATAGGTAGCTGTCATTAAAATTACATTTCAGCTTTCAATAACCATTTAATGAGTGCCATAATTATATAAGTATGGTACCTTAAGTACTATACTCAATAATTAAAAATAATCTCATCTTTAAAGTAAAAGCTCTGTAATTGCTATTTGACTTAACCAGGACCACTGTGATGATCTCTAGTGGCACCTTAGGTTGTTCAAAGTGGATTAAAATTATAAATTAAAATTGGGTGTATCAGTAAATTATTAAGCTTTAAATATCATAAAATGAATATAACCTGATGTTTGAAAGTTACATTACAGGAATTAGGAGTATAAAATTTAATCAGATTCTAGTCTTCTTAATTTGTTTTTAAAAATAAATGTTTTCTAAAAATGAATGTTTTATAGTAGTATAGTGTGGTTTCATAAAACAATACTTTGCAGTTTGTATTTAAAACTTTAAACTATTAAAATTGTCAATATGAATATGTATATTATATAGCAAATTATATTATAGCATTGGTGAGCATTTTTAAACACCTTTAGCAAATTTATTGTTATTCTATAATTTTAAACTCATAGGTATGAATTTGTCCTAAATCTAATTTTATGAGTATGCCAGTTTCTTGAGTGAAAATGTGTTTTTCCCCCTAAATGGTTGATATTACCACGTGAGACAGAAATACTTCTCGATGTTACTTTTTTCCTTTTTTAAACTGCTCAACTTTTGCCCACAGTTAAAACCTAAAGCTTTGGGAAGAATATTAAGATGTATTTAAAGCTCACTAGAATACATTATTATTCACCACCTCCCAATTCTGCTTTCTGTTTTACTTCTGTGTTTACAAAATTTTTATATAGGGTGATCTGGAGGCTGGAAACATTCCAGTTTTATTCTCTTTTGACTGTGTCCAGTGGTCAGGGAAGGTGACTTGGTCACAAACAAAAAGTTGTCCTTTGTTTATAAACATTAGTGTATGATTAAGTGGTTTTTAAATATTGGCTTGTCTGTGATGCATAAAAAGAAAATATCTGTACTGTACTTCATTTATTCCTGTTATCAGTCACTTTGGCAATATTCCTATTTAAGTTAGAAACAGTGGTGTTGGTTATTTCTTAGCATCAATATAAATATTTGGCCTAATGGGCTCTGATTATAAAATACATTTGGGGTACGGATAAGGGGATAACTGCCTTTTGACCCAACATACTGTATCGGACTCTCACATAGTAGCTTTTCAACTGAAATATTCAGTTTTCTAATATCCATTATTTCAGTGTTTTTAAATTTTTTTTCCAGGCAACTCAAATAAAAATGGAAGAAGAACAAGTTCTACTTTAGATTCTGATGGGACTTTTAATTCCTATAGGTAGGTGATGAATACATAGATACATAATATTACAAGATAATGTGCAAAATACCTAATCTTATGGAACTCTAACCTTAGAGTAGTAAGGAACTGCTACCTTTACTTTAAAACTATGACAAATATAAAGATTATTAAGATATGTGATTGTTATGCAGATTTATTGAGCAATGGAAATGCAGCAATCTCAATTCTTGAATGGATGATCTTATTGTAGATATCTGTTGTTAACCTATGTTAGGATAATTGAAATGAATATATATAGTATTAAGCTTCATTATAATCCTTTTTTTTTGCAGTATATCTGCGATAGTACTAAAGTCTTTTGTTTGTTTGTTTGTTTGTTGAAGTTTCCTGCTAAAATAGAGAGTACTGTTTATAAGCAATATAAAATGTATAGAGTATGAAATGTACTCTGTGGTTATAATAAATGCTGTTTGTTAATATCCTGTTTGGCTCATCAGCAGACAGGGTAGTTATGGTCTCAATTAGTGAATTTTTAAAAAGGATACACTAGTTAAGAAAATAATGTATTTTATCTAGTCTTTTGTTAATACATATTCTCTTTTTAACTTGACTTTGCTGGAGTCTTTATGGAATTTGTACCTTTATAACAGAGAAACCTAGAAAGAAGAAAGAGTAAAACATTTTCAGCAATATTGGAAAATTTATATAGTGAGCCAAAATGATATAAGAACTAGGTTTTTACTTTTTGGGGAAAGAGTGCAGATTCAATAATGACACATTTTGGCATTATAGATAGCAAAGCAGATTGTTGAATAAATAATTGGAGTACACTGTCCTTATGGTTAATTGGTTCTGATACTTGTATAATGACACTATAAAGTGTATGCAAGAACCATTGTACACTTGGAAACTCATTTGAATGTTAAGCTGTCATTCTTTTTATATAATAAATATGGAAGTTATGCTTAGAATCTGTATATTTTTATTTGCATACATACTCTATATCCCTAATTGGAACTGTTTTATTTGTTTCCTCAGATCCCAGGCAAGCTTTTAACATCTAGAGTAGGGACTTGTATACAGGATGCACTTAAAAAGAATGTAGTAAATGTGAAAGTTTTTACAATTGGTTTATAGATTCCAAAAAAACGAGCTGGTAATTGAAACACTTGACATCTTTATTTTGTACCAGTTGGGGTCTGTATAGATAACCAGTTGCTCTAATGTCATGGATACTACAAAATGCTGGTGTTCCCACAGTGTCCTAGAAGGTATTATCACAGCAGTCAAGCTCATATGTTGTCGTTATATTTTCACTGTATCTGTCCTAGCTCATAAATGTTCGAATTCTCCAAATCCTTCTTTTAGTGCTGAAGTGTAATATAAACTTGGAATTTGACATATTAAATAATAGGTACAATCCTCTATCTGAACACGTTGTAGCTGATCACTCCAAATGAAAAGGAGAATATAAATGATAATTAAGTAAAGATTCATGAGTTGGCATATAACTGAGGAATGTTAATATGATAATTCATGTGAAATCTATGGTGATGATAGTAGATATAAATACAATAAAAAGTAACCAAGACAAAATGGAAGTAAAGATGTATTTCAAAGGAAGGAAAATCTGTATATATATATAATTTTTGTTGGTGAAATATATTTTACATAACATTTATAGTTGAACTAATTATTGTAAATAATGGACATAATGTAAAATTAAGAGATATGTGTTAATATGAATGCACAGTATTTATAATTTATTTTCTTCTTGAATGATTTAAAGATTAAAGAATCTTAGTTTTGTTCTATATAATAGAGATAATATGCAAATTAACCCTCATGCCCTCACAAGATGGCTGGTTATGATCAGGCTGGAAGGAGGGTTACTGAGGGGTGACCAAATGACTGAACAAGAAGGCTGGGTGGGGCAACCAGGCCAGCAGGGGGGTCAGTGTGGGATGACCAAACGACTGAATAAGCAGCCTGTATAGGGTGACCAGGCCGGCAGGGGGGTTAGTGAGGGACAACCAAATGACTGAACAAGCAGCCTACATGGGGCGACCAGGCCCAGAAGGGAGGGAGGCAGTTAGAGGTGACCAGGCAAGCAGGGGGATGCAGTTGGGGGAAACCAGGCTGGCTGAGGTGGGGTGGGGGGAGGAGGGGAGCAGGTGGGGATAGTTAAGTTGTCAGTGGGGCAGTGAGGGGCAACTAGGCCAGTTGGGGGACAGTTGGGGACAACCAGGCCGACAGGGGAGGCAGGTTGGAGCAACCAGGCTGGCAGTGGAGGTAGTAAGGGGTGACCAGGCTGGCATGGGACAGCTAGGGGTGACCAGGCAGGCAGGCGAGCGATTATGAGCCAGCAGCCCAGGACTGTGAGAGGGAATTGGTCCTAAACTAGCAGTTGGACATTCCCCAAGGGTTCCCAGATTGGAGAGGATGCAGGCTGGCTGAGGAGACCCCCTCCCCATGCATAAATTTCATGCATTGGGCCTCTAGTTGAATGATAATTGTATTTTGAAAATGAACTTCTAATGCAACTTTGCACAATAAATACTATGTTGTTAACTAATATATTTTTAATCAATGCCTGTCATTGTTATAATGTTAAGATATTAATTTATTATTATAATTAAAAAGACAAGATAAAAAGCTCAGGTGGTACAGTATATAAAAACAAGCTTTTAATAGTTTGCAGGCCAGTACTGTTATTAAATAGTATTATAGTATTTAAGGTGTGAAATGAATATTTTTCTATTCAGTAGGCAATAGTTCTTACAATATAATGAGCTTACTTGTGAATTTGACACTTGGGTTAAATGCAGAATTCATAGAAGCACAGCTCTGGGGTATATTTTCATATTAAGTCTAACTGATAAAACCCAGGAATTTTGCAAAATCACACTACAATAGCTACAGAATTGTCAGTAAAATTTACTTTTGAAAATGAAAATGATTTTTTTCCTGCCATCATAGCTCTTTTAAACTAACTAGAAATAGGTCATTGGAAAAATGTTAATATTCCAACGTCCTCAAACGTCTTAACAATTCTACCTTTGTATATTACTTAAAATGCCTCAGAAATCCTGACCTTCCTTCACAGCTAGGTAGTTCTGGCTGTCAGCCTGGTATGAACACACTCAAGATGCATATACTTGTGCCCAGGATAATGATCAGCCTTAGTTTGTCATCTGTTAAATGGATTCTGCCTTCTCACAGCTGTTTTAAAAGACTGAGATAAAATATATAAGATAAAGCTTTACCTCATGTAAATTGTCTTAGTCCTCATTTAAACCTTCAACACATGGACCCTTTTATTGCATATGCTGAGGTTTTATTAACTTTTGAATTGGTTACCTAAATCTGTATTTTTTATTTTTGTTATTTTGGTCCTAAATTTTCAGATTCAAGAGGACACAGTCGCCATTTTCTTATTGTTGTTGTTTTTTAAAAATATATTTTTATTGATTTTTAGAGAGAGAGAGGAAGAAAGAGGAAGAGAGAGAAACATTAATTAGCTGCCTCCTCCATGTCCCTTACTGGGGACTGAGCCTAGAAACCTGATCGTGTGCTCTGACTGGAAATCAAACTGGCCACCTCTTGGTGCATGGGATGATGTTCAAGTCACACTGGCCAGAGCTGTTGTTTTGTTTTTGTTAGTGATACCTAAACACTGTGAGTTGGTTCAAACCCTGACTCCAAATACTTTGGAGACTTTGAACAAATTTCAGCCTCACTTTCCTCATCTTTAAAATGGGAATAATAAGCACCATTATGAGGAGTCAGTGGGATAATGTCACATGGTAAATGCCAAATTTCAAAATATTAGCTGGTTTTAGCTTGTCATCATTTTGGTAACAGAGAAATTTTTAATAGTGCTCTCATATAAAGATAGCAAAAGTAAAACTTAAAAAGATTTACCTTACAGGAAAATAACTTTTGTCTGTTAGCAGAAAGAAAGCTAAGAACAAGCTTACCCTGAGGCTTGAAACTCTCGGTCTCTGATACAGATTGCCTTTGTATAGCAAAATTGTACACCTAGTAGTAAAGATGAAAGGAACATAGTGTAAGTTCAGAGATGGATTTTTTGGAATTTGATAAAAGATTTTGAAGTTTAAAATAGATGGGCCCTAATCTGTAGCTTTGTGCCTAAATGTTCATAGATTTGTTTTTCATAGGCTAGGAGTTTTACTTGGTGTTTGTATCTTTTGTGGTTTTCCCTCATTGATTCAAGATAGATAACAGCTGCATTTAACTCCTAAGGCACCAGTAGCATTGTTGTAGGACTGATGCCTGGGTAATAGACTAGATCTTGTTTTGGAAGTTTTTGTTAAAATTTGATTGTGTATGTCCTAAGTAATTTGCAGATAGCTGATTAAAATGGAAAATCAGTAAGAATTGAGAAAATATTATTGCTTTATGCATTAGATCTTGTAATTTTGGGAGGAGACCAGTTTTAATTTTTCTATCAGATGATATGAGCTTTCCATATTCCTTATATAACCATTAAAACTGAGAGACCCCTTTGCTGGGTATGAAAGAAAAGTAGTTCACTGATGAACAGTTTGCAATAGATGTTTTACTAAGTGACTGTAGCACAAGGCCACATGGTAGAAGGAATATTCTCTCACTACCACCCTGCCCCCTTTTCCCAAGGGCAGCTGACCTTCTCTTCTGCAAAGAGGCAAGCCCCTTGCTAGCATATATAACTACAGACTATTACATTAATCTGTTCAGCTGTAGTACCAGCTGCTTGCATGTTTTTAATTATCACATTAGGTGGTATAACAGTGATCAATGAAATAAACTGAAGGTGAAAATTTAAAAATTTTCTTTTTTTTATGTTATGTTCTAAATATCTTTATTGATCAAGTTATAACTTTCTACGAAAGTTCATGGGAAATCTATGTGGTTTTTGAGGCATTGTAATGCTTTTTAAAAGTATGTCATAATTCTAATATAGAAAATAACTTCATTTTTGCCTTATTACATGGTATTTATATGGCCACAAATATTTGTTAAAATTCATTAGC